TTGGGTGCCTATTTATGCACACTTCAAAGGATTTTGAGATCTAAACTGCAAACCTAAATGGCATCCTTTCTGAAAACTGGAAAATGTTTAGTCTTGCTCCTGTTCTTAGCGTCTGAATTATTCATAAAACATTTTTTAAAAAGAAACCTCATTGGGTGTATTGGCTGTGAAATGTTAGTTGAAAAGCAGACATAAACATTCTGTAAAACCTGTTGGGCTCTAGGCTGCTGGAGAAATGGGGGCCAAGGATGAGGTTTCTGCGTATAGGAGCTGACTTTTCAGGGTCTCTCATTGACTTTATGTGGGACAAAGCCCTTTAGGGAAGAGTTTGCTTTTCCTCAGCTATGCACTTTAGAACTGGCAATGAGCCTAAACTTGCAGGAATAGCTATACTTTCTGGAAAGTTGAGGCCAAATGAAAAAAGAGAGGAGAATTTTCATGCTGGGACAGTAACTTATTGGATCAAATTGTAGCCATTTTCTTTTTTCTCTAAGCATAATTGCTTTGCTGTTGAAATTTGGATGGAGTTGGCAAGAGTACCCCTTCTCCCCCGCCCTCAACAATGCCTCAGGAATTACAGTATATCATGAAGTAGCATCATAACTAAGGCAGTGTGGAGAAATGCTACTTAAGTTACTTGCCATTTTGGTGGTTTGGAATTTATTTCCTCTGTTGAATTGATTGATCATGTGCTATCAAGACAGAGTCTACTCTTAGAAACCGCATAGATATTTTTTCTACAACAATCTGTTCCCAACCGGGCCCTTCAGATTTTCTGGTGATGTGCTCTTTACTACTATAATGGGTTCTATCCACCTTGCTGCTGGTCATCCTCTTCTCTTTCTTTTTTCAACTTTATAGATTTGGTGGCTCCAATATTTAAGAATTCAAAATTCAAGTGAGAACTCTGGATTGACTTGTTCTATGATCGATTTGTTGGATTGTCTATTTGTTTGTTTCTTTAAGTTATCCATGATATTTTTAGTTTTAAAGCATCCATGGTCTTTCTCTCCTGCTTATTTATAGTTTAACTTTGCTTTCATAGTGTAACAGGAAAAACATTGCTTATACATCTGTGATCTTGTAGGTATTGTCCACCCTCTTCAATTACATTGATTTGAGTTTGGTTTCATTTTTCTGAAATGTCTAACCTGCCTGATCTAAATATAGGAAGCACTATTTTCATTTCAGTTTTAAAACAAAAAAAGATATTTTCCCTTCTTTCTTAGGCTAGCACTACAATATATAAAATGGTTTTGACTTTCTACTATGTGCTGTCCCCAATTGAAGTTCTTTCATTTTTTATTTGTGTTTTCTGTTTAAGTGAATGGTAGATTGATAATTCATTTCTGGGTATAAAACAAAAGTATAACTCTTAGAAAACAGTTGAGTAGAGGGAATATTTGGCCATGTTCACTCATCCTTAATGGTCTTAGCTTCTCTGTAAAGTGGTGTTCACTCTATGTAGAATAACATATTGGTTCCTCCCACACACATGTACACAAATATCTTTCCTATGTTAATAATAAGCCTTTTTCTGGCTTTAAGATCTTCACCAGATCTTGTTTATAAGTTTCCACCAGCTTAAGCTTTCACCAATAAATACTTCACCCCTTGAACTTCCACAGTATCGATTTGACAAGAATAGATTATGCAGTTATTTTTATTGATTAAATATAAAGCATGCCTACAACTATCAAGCACATAAATGCAATTTTTTTTAATTTCAGTGAACACAAATACAGCAAAGAAATAAATGCACAAATGAATACTAACATTTAGTAAGGGCCCAACTATATCTGTGGCTGCTACTTTTTTTCCCTGCTGCTGTTATTTATTAAACTGCATATGTTTTCCCATGACTGATCAAATAGGAATTTATTTTATTCAGATTTCTCCAAAGTGAGGCCTACATTCAGGTGGTCTTCATGTAATTGGGACTGCAGTTTCTGCCATTGCACAAGTGTTGTGTCACATGACCACACTGCTTAACACGGAAATTCCAGGATTTCTGGATACTGGAATCATTATCAAATCATTCTGGATCTTTAAGTGGAACATCATGTGAGTGCCATTTGCTACCTCCTGCCAGCTTCCCCATCAATTTTGCTTATAGGAAACTGGCAAAGAAAATTGTAAATGGCAAGTATGTGATCATGAGGATGCCGCAACTAACATAAATAAGAGGATTCGTCATGAATACCACTCACAGTGCTATTGTAAGTTGAAATGGTCACTGAACAAGTGTCATTCAACAAGAGCCATCTCTATTTCTAAAACCCATAATATTTGCATTCTCACTATTACCAGAATTGTTCTGACCGAGGCTTCCCAAGATTATGAAGCAAACTCCGTGTCCCAACAAAAAACCCTTTTATTAATTTACTGTGAATTCTGCTTATTCACATCCAGCAAAGACTTTCAAGGGAGGATTTACAGTCACAGATTTTCTCTGGCTTGGAAAGCTGCCAGGCCGATATCTGCTAAACTTGGCAAGGAGTCTTGGAGAGTCACGAACCAGTTAAGCGAACTAATTGTCTCCTGCAAACTCCACTCCCCTTTTGCTCCTCTTTTATTTCTTCTGGGAGGGACCATTCATCATCCACCTGTGGCCTTACCCCCATGTTCTTTAGCTGTTCCCTTTATTTGGCAACTCTGTGCATGCATATACTGGGAATATGCTCCAGTTGTTCATCTGTCTCACTGATTTCTGACTGAAGGCAGCTGATAACTGGCATACAGCTCTGGCCTCCTCTCTGCCTCCAACACAGAGCTCTCATCAGAGCCTTCCCCAGACTCCAAGACTGACCCATTTCGTCCCCAACCTCCTCACTGTCCTAATCTGCCGCTGGCAGCTGGCGGGCCACTACAAAAATTAAATCATTCATATTCTTTGTAAACCCCATGTATCACCTTGAAAATCTGTGCCTGTGCAAATCCGTTCTACAACAGCTGGTTCTGTAACATCCTTCAGCTAGGAAGGAAATGTAAGAGCTTCATTCACTATTGCCTAAATTCAGCCCAACTGCCAAAACCTCTTTAGCTTTTTCCACAACACTATTCAACACTGAAAAGTGTTTGCAGTTTGCCTACTCCTGATTTCCCCCCCCCCCCCCTCCATTTCATCTTTCTTCTGGATTTGTTAAGTAATTTGGCGTTTTGTCCTTTTCCAAGTTTCTTTTGGAACTCCCTTAGTTGTGCTCATCTTGCTTTTGAGCTATTTTTCAAAAATGCTGCAATTTTTCCTCTTCATTGATGGTCACTATACATTTCTATTTCAGCTTTGTGGGACACTACATTGGAATGCATGCCAACATTTCATGCATTTGTGTTTCATTGGGAAGGCAGCTTATTAAACAGTCAATTAGGAAAGAATTTCAAATTCTTAATTATTTATTCTAAACTTTACTCAAAGCCCCATTGCCCCAATATTTCATGCTCATAATATTGAAACCATCAAAATTAAAGTGATTTCTAGCAACCCACTCAGCATTGTTATTACTAGTCTCGCAGAGAAGCACCATTCAAAATACATTTGGTACTTAGTGCTACAATACTATGGCTGTTCAATCTTCACAAAATTTCATCTCACTTAGGATTTCCTTGGGTTCATTATGCTTCTGATAACAATGTGTTGACAGTATATGAACCATCTTCTGATGTAGTCTGCTCAGCAATATCTATGCCACAAGCTTCCTTATCAGATATGATTACCATCAAATGAAATAACAGTGAATCCCAGTTGGGGAGTAGATGGTCTGTATATTTAGCAGATTTCCTACCTTTAAAGTAATATACAGGTAGACTTTGCTTAACTTCTTGCCTCTTTAGCAACCTTTCAAAGTTAGAGCAGCACTGAAAAAGTAATTTTATGACTAATCCTCACACTTGTAACTGTCAGTGTCTCCATGGTCATGTGATCAAGAGTTGGTCACTTCACAACCAATGGTTATGTATGACATTCATAGCATCCTATGGTCATGTTATCTCCAGTTGCACACTTCAGTAAAAAATTGGACCATTCACTCTCTCTCAGCTCAACTCATCTCGCCAAATTGTTATTGTAGGGGAAATAGGAGATGGAAAGAGTATTAGATGTGTTCAACATCTTGAATTGAATATGAAAAATAATGGGGTAAAAATACAAAAAAAAATTCTTTTGTGCATTATTTACATTGACTATTCTAATTTCCCCCCTCCTTTTAATTTCAAAACTATATTACATGATAATTTCCTTAATTGTTCTTTATGTCACTGTTAGTGAATACATTATAATTTTGTTTTTAAAACTTGCTTATTCTAACTTAAAAGATTATTTCTAATGAAAGTAGGCCATGACATTAATCCCTATCTATAAATATATAGCATGTCACTTGAAACAGGATTGATAACAACTATATGATTTTTTCTAGTTGATATTAAAACTAGGTACAGCATTAAAATATTGTTACTATAAAAGTAACAATATATGTTAAAGTATTCTATGAAGTCTCTGGTTGCTTATTTCAGTTCTGAGTATCTTTTAGTTAGGGAGGGGTGGTGTTTTTTAGAAAATAGTGCAGATTTGTGGACCAAAGTATGTTCTTGGTTTGTGTGTCTGACAAATATACCTCATATGTGAAACTGAACAAATTTTTAAAAATGTCTCTAATTTTTATCTAAAATACATATTTATAGAATAAGAATCTTAAGAAAAAATAACTGAGTAATCCAAATGAATTATAGTATCGTCAAAGTATTATTAGTCATTAGATTTTTTTTAAAAAAACATTAATTTCAGTGTCTAATATATGAGTATGCATGAGCAAAATAATATATGATATTTTGATAAATAGAAGCATTTTGTATTATAGCCTGCATATACTTATATGTAGCAATAATGGTGAAAATGTTGATAACATAAATAGTACATATTTTGCTTAAAGGAACATTTGTTTTAGGTGGTTTGCTTTATTGGCTAGTAACATTTATATTCACTTTTTTTAAAAATGTAACCACAGCTGGTTTTAGGAGAAGTTTTCGCCTAAGCAGAAAGGATAAAAAAACAAACAAGACAATGTATGAGTGCAAGAAGAGTGATCAATACGATACTGCAGATGTCCCTACCTATGAAGAAGTAGCAAAATATAGGAGGCAACCAAATGAAAAATACAGACTTATTGTCTTAGTTGGTAAGTGTTAAGAGGTTAAGTCAAATGATGGAACTTGGACTGTATTGTTTTTAGTTTTATTATAGTTGTTTTTCATTGCCATGCTTGTTTTGTGTTTTTAAATTTGAAAAATTTCAGATCTTGAGCAAGACCTGTTGTATATGGATATCGGAAATATTGTAAATTTCAACCTTCATCTATCTTATGAACTACCTGCTTTTGAAAAAAATAAAATGAATATTATAATTAAATAATGCAGTAAATTAACAAGTCAAGATAACTGCTTCTTCTGTTGTTAAGGCTTTAAGAGACATCTGAATATTAGAATTTCCACAGAAAAGGGTGTTTCATAGTTCATCTTCACCCTTCCCAGAGCCTGTTCATGTCCGTTCACCCCTTCACCAGTCCAGTGCACCCATTTTCTCTGAACGCAATAGTACATGACATAATCATTCAGCCTTTCAGTTCATCACAAATACATCCCCTTGCCCAGGTTTTGAAGTTCCGCTTGAACTGCTTTTTTCCATCATAAGCCTTACTGTAAGCCTTTATAGGCAAATGGCCTAGAGCACTTCTTTCTATCTAGCTCCAATTAGTTACAGCACCTGGCTTATGCTCTCCTCTCATGTGCTTGGTTGGTCCGGCTCCCATGCAGCCATTTTATCCTGAGCTGTTACTCTGCATGTTCTTCACTGGTCATCCATCACCTATCCTTATTATTTTCATTATCATCTTGTGGTTGATGCAATGATAGCAAGTTAAAATGAACCTTCTATGTTTTTTTCCACTTCTTCTTACATCTCCTATTTCACAGTGGGCAAATTTCTTTCAATTTCTGACTCTGCTGGGTAAATAATTTCCCCCTTCTACCCAAATCTGTTGAAGTTGCAGCATTGTCATTTTAGAATAAAACTACAGGGCTTCATTAAACTTGCTTCCATAATGCTGAAACATCAGTTCTCCCTTCCTAGACATTTATCTAGCCTCACAGTAGAACATAGAAACAAAGGACACCCTCATTGCCTGGAATATTGTTGTATCGGACAGCAATGATATATTAATGACTTTCATTTGTTTTATTGTAAGCTGGCTAGAGTCATGTAAAAATGAGTTAGCCAAGATATAAAATAGATGGGTCGATGGAGAAAGTGATAGTGTTGATGAAGAAAATGTGTGAAGGGGTAGGAAGAGTCTATGGATGCAAACCTTTGGGAAAGCAAAGAAAAAAGCATGTCATCTAGTGAACTAGAAATATTTCCTAAAAGGAAAAGGCAGACACATTCAAACATGGGCCTGTCACAGGACTTACCATATTTTTCAGAGTATAAGACACACCTTTTCCCCCCCAAAAAAGAGGCTGAAAATCTGGGTGTGTCTTATACATCGAATACAGCATTTTTTGCCTCCCTAAGCTCCCTTCTCCAAAATGGCCATCCATACCCTTATGGGGGCTTTCAGAGAGCTCCTGGGGGCTGGGGAGGGCAGAAATAAGCAAAAAAATGGAATGTTTTTTGGCAGCCCCCAGCAACACTCTATAAGCCCCCAAAAGACTATTCATGCCTTTTTTTTTTTTAAAGGGCCTATTTTCATGAAAAACGGGCCGTTTTTGGAAGGTTTCCAGAGTGCAAAAACTTTTTTTTCCTTTTGGAAAGCTCTTTAACTGATTGATGAGAATTATCAATCTGTGCCAGCAGAAACAAAGTCTTAGGTGCTGCAGATTGTCAGCAATTTCCTTCTCCAACACATGAACAAATACACCTAGAAATATCTATCTATCTACCTACCTACCTACTCTCTCTCTCTCCCTATCTACTGTATTTCTCTCTTTCTCTCCCCCTCTATCTACCTACATATCTACCTACTCTCTCTCTCCCCCTACCTATTTACTGTATTTCTCTCTCCCTCTCTATTTCTCTCTCTATCCTTCTACCTACCAACCTACCTACTCTCTCTCTACCTATCAACTGTATTTCTCTCTCTCTCTTTCAATTTCTCTATCTATCCCTCTACCTACCTACCTACCTACCTTCCTTCCTACACTCTCTCCCTACCTACCTACTGTATTTCTCTCTCTCTCTCTCTCTCTCTCTCTATCTCTCTCTCTCTCTCTCTCTCCCTTTATCTACCTACCTACTTACCTAACTACTCTCTCTCTCCTTACCTACCTACTGTATTTCTCTCTCTTTCTCTCCCTCTCTATCCCTCTATCTACCTACCTACTTTTTTAAAAAAATTGCCTCTTTAAAACTCTGAAAAATATGGTAACCTTTTCTCTAGATGAGAAAGACAAAAAGACATTGTATGATTGCTCAGGGCGGTCAGTGGTGCCCATAGTCTGACCACCAATCCATTGCAATCCAGACTGGAATTTCAAGATGGTTCAGGAACATCTAGTGACCTAAGTTGCAATATAGAATTGTTTCTACTATCTTAACTTGTTATTGTTCACTAAATGGGCCAGTCGGCCACGTTATATAGGATTCCAATCCATCCTTCCAAAAATCTAAAATAAAAGTGGCATAGAATAACTTTTGTAGTAGCTTTTTTAACTTTCATCAGTTACTCTTTCCTTAGAGCTTCAGGATGTTATGTACATATCATTTCTGCAACTCAAGAATAAAATGCTAGGACTTTATTTAATGTGCCACTAATAATGCTCTCTATTCTTGCATACATTCTGAAGCTCAGGAATGGTACTTTTTAATAAACAACAAACCAAATTCTTGTACTATGTTATATAGATATCTGAATCTGAAGTTCATCTAGATCAGGGTTGTCAAACTGGTGGCCCACGGACCAGATGTGTCATGCGTAGGCCATGTCCACCCCAACTCTGCAAAGGTAAAAATTTCACGGTATGTCACATGACACAATCGAGTTTGACACTCATGGTCTAAATACCCATTCAATCTTTACTGTATTTTAAAATTACCCAAATTGCTCTGTCACAAATAGTGGGACTGTTAATTGCCTGTATAAGTAGAGGCTGTGTCCTATTGTGCTTGCTATTGCTATATTCTCCTCATAATTAAAACCATTAACTAAATGGTTCAAAATCAACCATTGGAATTGACTGAGCTGTGTGTTCCAGAACATAGATTCTTGAATTTAATCAGTTAGAATGTGATGTATACTTTAGAAGCCCTTAGTGTTTTCACACTAATAACAGCATAGTTGTCTAAGATATTTTCTTAATTTAATTCAAAATCCAACATTTCCAACTCTTCTAGTATTCATTGTGTTACATTTTTGCTGGCCAGTGCTTCATTGATAGAATTTTTCCATTTTAAAAATTGCAAACCAGAAGAACATGACCCTCTATCAGGGACTATTATAAACTGTATTTCTGCTGTTTTTATAAAGCTTATTTCCAAGGGGACACTTAAAATCAGTTTTAAAAACAGCTTTCCCATTTTCTAATGCACAAATTCAGGCACCTACTACTGTGAGCAAGAAATTGTGGGTTCTACACAGTAAGTAATAATATGGTTGAGTTGCTTTTACACCTATATCAACAGAACCCGGTGAAAAGGGTAATAAGTAGATTTTTTATAACAAATCACATATGCTTAACTCTAAGAAATATCTAGAAATTTTATTTTATTTTGGAAATAATAAATCAAGTGAAGAAAGTGTGCTTTTTCAGTAACAAAAGCAGTTTGCAAATTTATTACAATCCTCAGTCATTTTGATGTTTTTTTCTCTTGGTATTAGAAACGGCATAAGTCTGGCCAAAATCATAAAAGTGTCTTAGGTAAAATGTGGAAAAACTGGCAATATTAATTGAAGCATAGTACAAATTATCAGATTTTTTTTAAGCTTTATGTGAGCTAGTAGTAGCATCCAATATGGCATGTGAAATAAGTTTAATATTATTGTCAAGGAACAGAAAGTCAGATTATTTCTTTTTCATATAGTTGGTTGAGGCAAAATTGGATTTAAATTTTTATTGGAATCTGCTTAAAAACATTACCTAGTTGTTTTTAATCAAATTTAGTATCCTCACCGAGCATAACCTTCTTATAACATGATTTCAACTTTATTTGTTTTTTTAGTAAGAACTAGGAATGCAGTGGCTAAGATGCTGAGCTTGTCGATCAGAAAGGTCGGCAGTTCGAATCCCTAGCGTCACATAATGGAGTGAGCTCCCATTACTTGTCCCAACTTCTGCCAACCTAGCAGTTGGAAAGCACGTAAAAATGCAAGTAGAAAAATAGGAACCACCTTTAGTGGGAAGATAACAGCATTCCATGCACCTTCAGCATTTAGTTATGCCGGCCACATTACCACACAGACATCTTCGGACAGCACATATATGCAAGAGGAACCTTTACCTTTTTACTTAATAAGAACATTATCATTTTTAAAATAAACCTGAGTAGCCTTACTAATTTCACTGTTGGTCTGTAGAAGCTACGTGCTTCCTTTTTTGTCCACATTCTGCTCGGAATTACAACAGCATTGAAAAAAGTAACATGATCATTTTTCACATAACCATCGCAACATCCCCATGGTCACATTCATATTAATGATGCTACAGAGTCGTGTAGCCTCCTTTTGTGACCTTCTGACAAGCAAAGTCAATGTGGAAACCAGATCCCTGGAACAACCATGTTACTAATTTAACAACTGCGGTGGTTCACTTAACAAATGTGTCAAGAAAGGTTGTAAAATGGAGCAAACTCACTTAACAATTATTATCTTGCTTAGCAGCAGAAATTTTGGGTTCAATTGTGGCTGTAAATTGAGGATTATCTGTATACTATTTTGTATTGGTTCTTGAAAATCTCACTAGTGCAGCCTTCTGGTTTTTTGGATTGCAAAATCTCCTCCCTTATTCTTCATTACTATGAGGATAATAATAGCAGTGGAGAAAGGTCCTCCATGTCGTCTTCTCTGTTTTTATTTCCTTTTAGAGGTGTATTTCAATCTATTGAGGTGGAGTGAGATGAAAAAAGGTATATTCTTCTTTCTGTTTTATCATTCTTCCAATACATAATTCAGCTTTTAAAGTAGTGATGTGTGTAGAATGTAGATGGTTTTGAATTTGAAATACCCTGTTGCTGCATATGAAATAGACTGTTTCAGAAGTATTTTTGGTTTGAAACTCTGAAAACATAGGGATGTTTGAGAGCTTTAAAATAGTTGAAACAGCCTCTTTTGCATTTAAAATATTTGTGTCATCCGCAGAATAGTGCAAAGTCGAAACATCACAAATACTTTTATTCCATTCCATGCCAGGCTGTTTGCTTTTTCTTTCCTTGCTTGCTTAGTTGCTTTGGCTGGTGACCTTGACATAGGCTTCAGTCATGTGTGGCCGCTGATTTTATTATATCAAGAAGATAATTTTCTGATATATGGGCTAGTACGGGTCTAGAACCTCTTGCTTCAGCCAACTCACCGTGGCCAACTTGCCACGGGACAACTCACCCCAGCCAATTTGTCACAGGACAAACTCAATATGATAAAAGTTATCTGCCACAATATGTTGTCCAGTTCCACAAAAATGAAAGTAATATCAAAGAAACAATGGCAGGTAAAATTTATTGCATTGAGTTGTCCTGTGTAGAATTGTCCCACAGGGAATTGGCCACAACAAATTGTCCCTTGGCAAGTTAGCTGCAGCGAGATGGCTGTGGCAAGTTGGCCGCAATGCGTTGTCCCATTCTGGAGTAGTATTGCCACTAATGAAATAGAACTGCCTCAGCTATTATCATTAGGTCATTTCTCATGATGTTCCAAATAAAACTTCCTTCCTGTTAGCTGAGTCTTTCTCACACACACACACAGATTCCAATTGTTTAGTTGTTTGCAGGTTTAAGGTTTAGGGATTTTTTTTATAGCTTGTGCTCATCCCAACAAATCAATTTAGAAGTAAAATGCCAGATTGTTAAGCAAAAAGCAAGTGGCGCTGAAAGGCACTATCTCAGGAGGGAGAGGTATTTTTTCCATAGATACAACAATCTTTCTGCTTATATAATAAAAAATTGGGATCCAGGCTAAATGTTTATTGAATTCTATGTGAGATATTTTCCCAACTCCCAAATAAAATCACTTGTTATCTGCCTGAGTGATTTCTGACGATCAGCAAAACACTTAACACAATTGTCAAATATGCACTGATTGTCTTAAAACTTTCTCAACAAAACTGGATATGTGGAAATCAAAATACGTGTATGCATTTTTGTGGAGAACTTCAGCAGCATATGTATAGTTGATTTTTTTTTCTTATCTGAATATATTTATATTTCATTCTTTAAATGTAGCAGTAACTACTGAATGATCTGAAAAATAGATAATCAATTTCATTTAGTTGTTTGCTATCAGATAGAAAAGTAATAACCACGTGGCACCATTTCACAGAAACACATACAATAAACCCATAGCAATTTGACTTTTTGGGAAGAAAATTTAAAATTTCTTAAAAAGTTAAGATAAATTTAAGAAATATATGTTTGTCTTTATTTATATATTGTATACACCATTCTGAAAGGATAATAGATCTCATCAGTTTTTTTTTTAATTTTCTTACGGTTAAGGGGTGTGCATTTCCTGATATTAGCAAAGTGCCCTATACTAAACCACAAGTACAGTAAGAATTCGTTGTCATTAATTATTGGCTGATTAGTTTAATTGTATGAGGTATGTTCGGCTTGTTGTTTTAGCCTAATCTTTGGTCGTCGAGGAGGGCAGCATCTCCCTAGAATCCAGGTACAAATATAGGGCAGGTGACAATAGAGAAAAAAGTGGGAGTTGCCCCTTTTCCTATATACCTTTGGCTGGCTGGGGAATTCTGGGAATTTAAGTCTACCCATCTTCCAAGTTGCCACTTCCAAGTTGAGAAACACTGCTTTATACCAGTGGAACTTTGTTCCAAATAGAGAAGGGAAACATATCATAGCGGGAGCTAAAGAAAAGTTGGAGAGAGGGAAAACCATGAAATACTAATCGTGCCTTATATGTCAGTGTGCTTGAGAGCACCTTGAATAAGTTATTGGAATCCATAGGGCTCTTTAGCTAGCTGTAGCTGAAATGTATACTCATCATTAGACTTTTATAATGCATTTTAACTTATTAGTATTCCTCAATAAAGTGTTTCATGTGTTGCTCTTGCTTAAATTACAATTAACTCTTGCATAATTTGGAGTCTTGTTTGAAAGTATATTTCTTTCTGAACATTTTCATCTAAGCCCAAAATGCATTCCTGGATAGCACACAGCTTTTATTGAGGAAAACCAAAGATTTCTGAAACAGCTTCAGATGTAATCACACATTGCTATTTTAAGTCAAAGTATGGTACATATTAAATATACTGAGAAAAAAGGAAGGATATAACATCATGAATTTTGAGATTAGTACCAGCTTAATCTTCATATTCCATCAGCATTCTTTTTTAACATTAGCCAATTGACCATTCAAGGTTATGTATCTTTGGCAGAATAAATGACAGGCTATTGATTTCAGAGATAGTGAAAAGCCAAAATTTGGGAAACCCATAGACTTTGGAAATCCTATCCGCCTAGTGAATACTGAAGACACTGGAGTTCTTCCAATAAAAAACTTTTAAGTAACATTTTGGATTTCTAAACAGAGCTACTGTACTACGTTATAATATTAATAATCAGAACAATTAACTGGAACACTTTTAAACTTTCAGGTCCTGTTGGTGTAGGACTGAATGAACTAAAACGGAAATTGTTAATCAGTGACACTCACCATTATGGTGTAACAGTTCCACGTAAGTGAAAAAGTCTGCTTTATAAATTCCTAATGTATGATTCAGCTTCCTTTTAATTAGCATAAATATAATCTGCTTGGAGTCGAATATGGTAAGGATATCTGAATTTTTTTTTAAAGAGCCTTCCACTTCATGAGGAACATAAATAAATTGGCTCTATTTCTCTACTATTGCATAGTGGAAACAATAAAGGCAGATAAATCAAACATGGTCCTTGTCATGTGTCTTCTTGGTTTGCCAGTCTTCTACCAACTATGGAAATCACTAGAAAGGAGATTTAACATCAGAGTACAGCAGACTGAATAGTCAAATGTAATCGGATTATTGCTTTGATATAAAAGGTGCATGACAACAAGGAGAAGATATGTACCAACAAAAACCTATTCCAGATTAATATTTGAGAAGAGAGGATAGATTTCTTGTATTTAAATTTTCACACGAGTTTCTGAGAATTGAATTTCATCTACTTGAATTTCAACAGTTTGTTGGTAATTAAAACCAGTAGAATAGAACTTTTTGTTTTCATTTATTTTCAAAGTGGTTTTTAATGCTCTTTCAATAAAACCAGACACAACAAGACCTCGAAGAAGCCAAGAAAGTGATGGTGTTGAATACACTTTTATTTCCAAGCACTTGTTCGAGACAGATATACAGAATAACAAGTATGTGAGAAGCATGAAATTCATGTCTTATTTCTTGTGTGTGTGCCATTTTGCATTGCTAATGTGAGAATGTTCCTTAATCTCAGTGTTCTGCCAAATGCCAGAGCTAACTTGATGAGAATTCTTGGATGCCAAAACCATAGTTTAATTTCAATTTCTAGCACAAACCATATGTATTGCACCTCAGTGGCAACTTGTTTACTGAGCAAAATACAGATTACATGCCATCATTTGAAATTAAGTTTTGTCCAAAGACGAACACAAGATGAATATATCAGAAGTTTCAGTCTCTATTTAAAGGGTATTTTGAAAATAGAAAAGAATTAATCATACTTGTTTTGTAGCCAACATATGTATACTGTAAAGATTTATACTAATTGTTCTAGCATTGTTCAAGGCTTGGAAGCTGGAGAAATCAAGTTTTGAAACTTTATTTTTTTAAGTTTTTAAATTTAAAATTTGAATTTAAAATAAGATATTTTGTAATAATTATGATTTTTCATTCAAGTTTTAAACATTTGGATTTTTTTAAAAAAATGTTACTTGGCACTTGATTCCTTATGTCATCTTTGTCAATAGTGTTATCAGATTTCCTTTTTCAAAAAGGCATGTGGAAATAAGATTTGTAACAAATGTAAAATATTATTTTTTATTTCAGATTTATTGAATATGGGGAATATAAAAATAATTTCTATGGTACCAGCATTGACTCAGTTAGAGCTGTTCTGGCAAAAAATAAAGTTTGTTTATTAGATGTACAGCCTCATGTAAGTAAACAATAAGTATTTAATTTTCCTGCCATTCAGCTGATATGTTCTGCACCCTCGATTAACAATTCAAGGGGGAAATTACAAGTTAAAGAGAACTATTAACTTCCTAGCAACTGTACTAGAACTGTTAGCAAAATGAAAGTGTGGAACTGAATATTCAAATACACTCTGTTTAACCTAAAATCTTGTTCAGAATTTACAACATTCCTTATTTACATTCACATTTTCAGTAAGGAAGATATTCAAGATACAGGACCAAAGATGACTAGCATTTCAGCAAATTCTGCAAAGAGTCATTTGAACAAGACATTGTATGTTATGCTGAACAATTAAAATGCTACATAATTTATATTTAATAACAGTATCTGTTATCAGAGAGGAATATGCTACATAGAAACTAGAGAGGACTTGTCTTGTTTCAGAGTAAATAATGTTTTAAAATAAACATGTTCACCTTAATATTTTCATCCCTCCAGACAGTGAAGCATCTAAGGACTTTGGAATTCAAACCATTTGTGATATTTATAAAACCTCCATCAATTGAGCGTTTAAGAGAGACACGAAAAAATGCCAAAATAATTTCAAGCAAGGATGAAAAAGGTGCTGCCAAGCCTTTTCAAGTGAGTAAATTTCCTGGAAATATGAAAATAAATCTTAATTTTTGTACCTTTAAGATTTGGTTATTTAAAAATACAGAACTTGATAAGTTTAGTCTACTTCAGCCCTGATTGCCCAATATATGTTTACTTGTAAAACTGATTTCCCCCCTCCCAAAATAAGTATGTTCTTTTTAAAAGATTTCTGTCTTAATTTTATATAGTTTTCCAAAAACAGTGACTTAAATATATTGAATGAGTTGTAAAAGGAGACCTAGGAATCTAAAAAGAAGGTTTCTTTGGATTCTTTTCAAAATTCCAAAAATAAATATAGTGTCTTACTGAATTCCTTTTTTTACAGCAGACCTAATTTTAGGTAATATGCATCTGAAGGCATCATTCATAAAAACAATTTAAATGCATTTCTCTAGTTCTGTTTCTAATACAGACATTTTATAATTATCTATTAATGTCTGATATATATAAAAATGGGGATTGTTTGGAAGTTGAGTAGAAGAAAGTTTCAAAATAATCTGAATTTGAGATAACATTTTGTGATAATTATTATACTTAATAATTATAATTATTGAAATTAATCATTAATTATACTTTTAATGAACTATTACATGTTAAATTTCCATCTTAAAATCAAATAGCAGTACTAAAAGAAACAATGTGAAGGGCCATTGATTTGCCATTTCTGGCTAGAGAAATCTAAATACTGGGCTATTGAAAGCAGGAGCAGTGTATGGGACATTGCCTTATACAGGTATTCCTCTACTTACAACAGTTCATTTAGTGGATGTTCAAAGTTACAATGGCACTGAAAAAAGTGACGACCATTCACACTTAACAACCATTGCAGCAGCATCATAGTCACGTGGTCAAAATTCAGACAGTTCGCATCTGATTCTTATTTATGACCATTGCAGAGTCCCTTTTGTGACCTTCTGACAAGCAAAGTCAATGGGGAAGCCTGAATCACCTAAATACTGTGTAATTAATTTAACAATCACAGTGATTCACTTAACAACTGTGGCAAGAAAAGTTGTAAAATGGGGCGGAATTCACTTAACAATTAATTAGGGCTTAATTGTGGTCATAAGTCAAGAACCTGTGTAATTCCAAGATATAAATTATAATTTTCTGTAAATCTAATAGTATTGTAAATTGATTTTTTTAAAATATTTGACTAATCGCTTCTCTTTATTTAGGAAGAAGATTTTCAAGAAATGATTAAATCTGCCCAGATCATGGAAAGTCAATACGCCCATCTTTTTGACAAAGTTGTAGTGAATGATGATCTTACCACAGCATACAATGAATTGAAAACAGTTTTTGACAAACTGGAGAGAGAAACATTTTGGGTCCCAGTCAGTTGGGTGCATTCATAATGCTGCACAAACGTCTTCATGGTAGTTAGCTGGGTCTAAGAGGATATATTGTTGCTGGAGTCTTTTTTCTAGTTATGACATGTTAGATGAACATTGCAGGAGACGGTTGATCTTATTTTTAATTTGTTGATAACGCAGTTTTCTAGGCAGCAGAACAAAGTAAAGCCTTATTTTTATTTAATTGTTTTTTAAATTGTTTTCTTGTGTTTTTTTTAAAAAGCATCCTCAACTACTATAATACCATCTTTCATAAATATTTTGCACTCTCCATGACATTTCCTTTAAGCTAAGATTTAAGAGAAGATCTTAAGATTCAAGATCTCTGTTAGTACTATATGTGATTTTGGTTAGCACTTGAGAATATATTATAACTGGAGCATTTATTTTTTAAGAATATAAGTGTCCATTTAGTACTGATCTACAATGTAAAATGCAAATTGCTCCTTTATATTCATCTTGACATTGGGGTAAATTTAAGTTACTTTGGAGGAAAAATTAACCATTGAACTTTCTTTTCAATAAGAAATATGTCATCTTTTACATCCTAAGTATTTGTATATTGTCTTGTTGGATTTAAGACAATGGGATTTTCATTTAAATCAAACTTGAAATTGTTTGAATAATTCTTATATAAGAATAAAATAATGTGGTGGAGGAGCCTTTGTAATTGAGTTGGTTATATACATATATTTATATAAATACTTTATTAATTTAAATATATATCTTTCTAAAACTGCCTTTGAGAAGAACTAAGCAACTCTGTTTCAGTGTGAAAAACCTGTAAATCATTCCCATTTTACACATGTCATGGGTAATTAATACTTAAATCTGTATTCTGCCCAATGAAGAAAGAAACTTTAAAATTTTCTGTTGACACCAAATGATTTACTGGATGAGGAGAAATACATGTTATGTGTCAGTGAATCTGTCTTACCAAGAGCATGTGATGATTATGCATCATAACCTTAGCAGGCAAAAAGGAGGCTCACTTATTTTATGCTAACATATAAAGGATTAGCGTCGTATACAAAGGAATTTAGGAATGTATAGATATATATATACATATTTATGACAAAAGATCTAAATAGATTTTTTAAATATTTCTTGATGCAATTTATTAAACAAATCCATGAGTCTTTGTGATTTGAACACTGACTTGACAGTTCAACATTCCATGTAAATATTTTTGTTTAGGTAGAGAAAACTCACCAGGCCTTTGCCAAAGTAGTATAAATAGGCGGTTGCATTTATATTTTCAAATTATATTACACACAGGAAGTGCCAACAATTACAATGTAGTCTTGGAAATATAAATTAGTTTGACACATCTGTAATTTGGCACTGAACATATGCAATGTACTCTTCAGTGTCTCAGGCTTTCTCGTACTTTGTGAATTAAATACGGTTTTCAATACCATTTCATTTGCATGAAAATACTGACCAGAATTAAAGGGTAGTCCTTAACTTAAGACCAAAATTTGAACCAGAAGTTTGGTCCCTTAGCGATGCAGTTTTTAAGAAAGGTGTCACGTAACTGAATATGGTTATATCGCCATTGTTACCTCAATTGTTAAGCAAACTATGTGATTATTAAGTGAATCATGCAGTCATTAGGCAAATATGGCTTCTCCAATCGATATTGCTTAATTGGAAGGTCCCAAAACAATCATATGACCAGAAAAACTGCAGCTGTTGTAAAGGCAAGCTAGTGGCCAAGGGGCCAAATTTGAATCACATAACTCTGACGGTTGTGACAGTTGCAACTTTGAAGACAAAGCAAACTGAATGACTTTTGGTCAATTGCTCTCTCACACACCAACTCACCTCACAGCAGGGGTGGGTTTCGACCGGTTCGCACCGGTCCCTGCGATCCGGTTGGTCGCCGACCCCGGAAGTAAGTAACTTCCGGGAACGGCGAAGCCTGCGCGCGCCCGCACACCTGCGCCCGCTCCTTACCCGGTTTTTTCTAATTTTGCGCTTTCCACGCATG